GAGAAAATGTTTCCTCTGTGTTGACCCTCCTCTTTGCAGACTGGACACTGGTTCAAGTTCATCTTCTGGGGTCTCCATGGCCTCCCTGAACAAGAGGACAGGTGACTCACCAAAGTTACAGGACATTTAGAGAGATGCACTGTAGCCCCTGGAACTTGTTTGACCTTGGAGGGCTAGGAACAAAAATTTGTCCCTTTAAGTCCCTCTGACCATATTAATATAGGCCTTAGAGTCTGGCTATTAAACATCCAACAAGGTTAGTTACACTGGTCTGGTACTTTTAATTACTATGTGCTATGTAGATAGAGCTTGGGCACATCCTTAAATAAACCTTGACTAGACATCCTTAAACTAGTTGACTAAGCTGCGACCTTAGAAATTTTAAGACGTGTCTACACATTCATTATCCTTGTTTCATCTTTGTTATACTGTAACAACCCTACACAGACCTTCATCACCTGCCCAGCAATCTCATCTCTCTGTCAATTCTGGAAATATCCAGCCATGGTAATTTTCATACATAAATCCTTCTTAAAGAATGTCTCCATTCTCATATCCTTCCAACATCCTCCAATTTTCCATTTTTTTAAAAAAAATAACAGATACAATAACATTAGCAAATAAATTTTTCATTTGTTGTGAGAATTCTTTTTCTGGGGATACTAAGGAATGTTTTTTTCCTTTTTAGGTTGTAGTATCAAACCAATGTTTGATTACATTAAAGTTTTCTGGGGGCAGGGGGAACCAGTGAATTTACTGAGCTTACTTACACAGATGACTGAGGGGTTGCTGAAGTATACGAGTGACCTGAGAGTACTGACATTGGAAAGCCTTAACCCAGCATGGATCAAGCCTTCTCTTCCTAGCCTTTTTTCAGATAATATACTTTAGTCCTCCCCAAACCCAGGAGACCATGTGATTAGGGCCAAATTATATACAGTTGGCTGGGAAGAGCAGCTGGATACTCACGTGAGGGTTCAATGACCCTGTTTACCCCTCCTCTTTTAATTAGATACTTAAGTCAACAAGTCCAATTGTGATGATTTTTTGTTAGTGGACACAGCTGAAGTCATGAAGATAGTAGTTGTTTGACTCAGAAGAAAGTAGTGTGTAGTATCATCTTATTAAAAGAACATGGAATCTAAATTATATACATAAGATAATGTAATAAGTTAATACTACACGTGTACATATTG